GGATGAAACAAGATTGGCCGTGAGCTGATAATTGTTGAAGCTAGTGATGGGTACATGGAGGTTCTTTGACTTTTCTCTCTATCTTTTTGTATGTGTAAACTTTTCCATAATAAAACATTTTATTTTTATTTTTTCACAGGCAGTTATTTAGGATTGAAGGAGTAAAAAGTGTCTTCTTTGGACCAGATTTCATCACTGTCACAAAGGTAAACATAGGATTATATAAAATAAGTTGTGAAGTACTTTTAGTTTTTTCTGAATCAGGTGTTCCTCTCTAGAATTTCCATTCTTGGTATATTTTACACATGCTGTTATTAAAAATATCAAATTGTTTGCTTCTCACATTTCTTTTCTTTTTTTTTTTTTTGAGGAATATTGGCCCTAAGCTAGCATTTGTTGCCAATCCTCTTCTTTTTGCTCAAGGAAGATTGTTCCTGAGCCAACATCTGTGCCAGTCTTCCTCTATTTTGTGTATGGGACGCCAGCACAGCATGGCTTGATGAGCGGTGTGTAGGTCTGCACCCAGGATCTGAACCAGCAAACCCCGGGCCACCGAAGCGGAACATGCAAACTTAACCACTATACCATGAGGCCGGCCCCTCACGTTTCTAAAGTTAATTATTTAGTAGAATTTTCAAGGTGAAATTATCTGTAGTCCAGATTCCTCATTTTTCAAAAGAGAAAAACTTGAGCTTCAGAAGGTTAAATGCAATGTCCAAGATTATAGCTACCTTATGGCAGGGCCAAGACTCAACTTTGGCAGGGCTAGAATTTAGGCTTCCAAATATTATTTTTACTAATTCTTAATTTAAATTGATAAAGTGAAAAAAAGCAAATAAATAACCAAATAATATATATATATTTGACCAACAGAATGGTTGAATATATATCCCCTTTCAAGGTGGGCCCTTGTATCATGGTGTCTGCACATTCTTCGATCCTGCAGTAACACTTCAGAGCTTCACAGATGAGAGCCGTGGACTGTGTGGTTCTGCAGCACTTAGTTAGCCTCTAGAAGTCAAAAAGTCAAGCTACATGTGCTACCCGTTCCAACAGCTGAGGTATCTGCTAGAAAAGGCTGTTTCTTTTTTAAGTGCACTAGATTAATGAGAAATGAACTATTTAAATTTGGGCTGTGTCCTTTTAAATCTGTTAATTGGTATATAATATGCACTGAACTTAATCACTTGTCAAATTTTGCATCGAAGTCAAAAGTTTTCATTCAGCTCCTTTTAAGCAATTTGAAAGGATTACTCTGAGTTCTTGATGCATCATAGAAGTGGACATACTGGGTTAGCAACATGTTACATCTAGTCCAGTATTCTCTTGTAGCTATTTATGTGTGGAGGAGAATTATGATTTTTCTCCTTGGTGGTAATCCCAGTGGCTATGGTTGTTCTTGCAAATATCCCAATTGTAAAATATTTTTCCCTATTGCTTAAAGTGTTATTTGTTCTAAATTCTCAAAATGTCCTTTCTTGACTTTATCAGTGAAAGTAGCACTCCTTCCAGGAGCTCATTACCTTGTTTATTTTCTTTATTGCACTTAACACTTCATCATATTTTTTAAATTTTTATTACCTATTTTTCCTGCACTAGAATGTGAACTCCATGAAGATAAAGAATGTCCATCTTGTTAAGTTCACCTGACAATGCCTAGCACATAGTATGCCCTCAAAGAAATTTTTGTAGAAGGAAATGATGATGTAAAATTTCCTAAACTGAATTTTCAGGCTACAAGTGGTTTACCCCAAATGTAGGATTATGGTGAGCAAATCTGTGTTAACCAATCCCAAGTCTTTACCAGTTTATAGACGTTTGGCCTGTCTTTGTTATTCTTCAGTTTTCTTTCTTTGATATATATATGTTTTTTTAAAGTATGCTTTTTTGTGAGGAAGATTTGCCCTGAGCTACCATCTGCTGCCAATTCTCCTCTTTTTTTGCTTGAGGAAGATTTGCCCTGAGCTAACATCTGTGCCAGTCTTCCTTTATTTTGTATGTGGGTTGCTGCCCCAGCATGGCTGCTGACGAGTGCTTAAGGTCCGTGCCCAGGAACCAGAGCAGGGCTGCCAAAGTGGAGCATGTCGAACTTAACCACTAGGCCATGGGGCTGGCCCCTGAAAATTTTCTTTTGATGAAAACGTGATTATATCTTACAGTTTTATTTCTTGATTTGATTTTGGTAAGTCATCTTTTATTTCCCTTTCCCTTCATAATTTAGTTACCCTTTTTGAAATCTCTCAGCTCCACTATTTTTTCTTAATGAAATGACATAACCAATAAATAATATTCCAAATTAGGACATACATTGATGTTTAATAGGTAGAATAGTAGATTTGGTTTTTCTTTGAATTACCTTCCTCACAATGGACTATTTCATTTACCTGATATCTTCAGGATCGCCTCTTTTCCTTTCTGATTTGTAATTGATAATTCAGGGGCTTCTTTATGCGTCATTTATATTTTTTTTTACTAAATGTATAAGTGTATTTGCAGCTTATATGCTGCTTTTTTTTCTCATTCAACTTCAGAATATTTTTTTTATTATCAATATTTCCCTACTCAGTAGAGCCCACTATTTGCTGAAGATCTGAGGTACTCTGATCCGTCTTGGAAATAATTTATTAAAATGTTACCTAGAATTAGTTCCTATTCCCAATCACACGGCGTCTTCACTAGTTTTGCTCTTGTATCCATAGCAGCGCCCATTTATCTTACCTTCTGTGTGCTGTCTCTAAATTGCTTCTTAATCCATGACAAAAGTAGTCCCTTTTGCTTGTAGACTCAATGTTTAATTGTATTTAAGCAGAGACCCTGGCTAACAGCCTCCTAAGAGTCTAAATAGACTGTATCTAATAGTTTTCTTCCTAAAGAGCTATCCTTTAAAAAACTAAAACAAAACATGCTGCCTTTCTTTTTTTCAGATGTTAACACTATTTAGGTATTTAAGAATCCTATCTTTTTTTTATGGAGTCAACTAGTTGGCCAGATATAGAGGTGAAAAAGTTATGGATTCTTTCTTATGGATACTGGTCTTATTGGTGGTACACAAGTGCCCTAGCACAGTAGCCACAGATAAGACACATTATATGTTTTGGTTCTATAGTTGCATCATTGGATTTCTTCAATATTCTTAAGTAATATATGTTAGTTGAATTTTTTGAATAGTTGTGGGATATCCTGTATATTTGATCAAGTAATTATATCCTATTTAAAAGAAGGGGAAATCTCTTTATCATCTTGTTAAACACAGAGAATCTATTCAGTATTTTAACTCTCTTTACTTCATGAAAAAATGTCGTTTAATCATTTTAGTATCTCCTGTATAGGGCATGGTACATACAGCATACTTGAAACAAGTTTGATGAATGAATGAATGAATGGAAAGTGTTCTAAGATTATGTCTTCTGAAATTCCTTTTAAGTCAGATCCTTTAAGAAGTGAAACTGACATGTATTCTCCAAAAATGGGTGCTGTTGCATAGTACAGAATATATATAGGAAAAGATTCCTAAAAGATAGAAAGTATTGTTTTGTATTTGTCTATGCCTTTGGGTGGAAATATACCATTTTTCTTCACATATTTATAGGAAAGTGAAGAGTTAGACTGGAATTTACTGAAACCAGATATTTATGCTACAATCATGGATTTCTTTGCATCTGGCTTACCCTTAGTTACTGAGGAAACATCTTCAGGAGAAGCAGGTAATATATTCGGTAACTAATATTTATCTTTTTTTTTTTTTAACTTTTCTACTTTCTTCACACTTGTCTTGATTTCAGAAGTCTTAGGAGTACAGATTTTTATCATTGTATCATATGTAGCTCTAGAACCAATTCCAGAGGAAATGAAACTTCAGATATACTAGTTTTGCCCATCACTTTTGAAAATTTGTGTATAAATTGAATCTGTTATACAAAACTAAATTTTTCTTTCTTTTTTTTTGAGGACGTTTAGCCCTAAGCTAACATGCACTACCAGTCCTCCTCTTTTTGCTGAGAGAATGGCCCCTGAGCTCACATCTGTGCCCATCTTCCTCTATTTTGTATGTGGGTCACCACCACAGTGTGGCCACCAAAAAGTGTAGGTCCACGCCTGGGAACCAAACCCAGGCTGCTGAAGCAGAGCATGCCAAACCTAAGCACTAGGCCACGGGGCTGGCCCTAGACTCCTTTTTAAATAAAGTATTAAGACCCAGCCAAAGCCCCAACCCCCATCCCTTTTCCCTTTCAAGAGATGTATGTACACTTGGTTTGTTTTTAAATTTTTACTACACATATACGTCTCTACAGGGAATATATAAATTGGTTTTTGTTCTTAAATTTTGAATAACTTGTGTTATATGCAACTTTTCTTTTTTTGCTGGGTATTTTGAAATGCATCCATTTTGATAAAATGTAGTTCTACTTTAAGTGCTGAGTAGTATTTCATTATATGAATAAACCACAGTTAGTTTATTCCTTTACTTATGTGCAAGTGAATTGTTTGTACTAATTTCTATTGCAAACATTGTTGCAGTGGGCATCCTTGTACAAGTCTCTTTGTGCATATGTGGAGAGTTTCTTTAGAGTATATTCCCGGAAGCAGAATTGCTGTATTGAAATCTGTTCTAATTTACATACAAATTAGCAGTTATAAGAATTTCAACTTTCTTATATCTTTATCATCACTTAGTGTCCTTTAAATTGTTTTTAACCAATATGTTAAATGCAAAATGGTATCTTGTTTTAATTGCATTTACTTCATTAATACTGAGCATAAAGGTTTTCATATGTTTATTGGCCATTATTTTTCTTGTCAGTAAGTTTCCTGTTGATAATCTTTGAGTTGTATGTCTTTTTTGCATTTATTTTAGCAAGTTTTTTAAAAAAAAATATTCTGGGTATTAATCCTTTGTTATGTATATTTCTAGCAAATATCTTCTCCCTAACCATGCCTTATCTTTTTACTATGTTTAGGACATCTTTTGTCATTCAGAAATTTTTCCTTTTCTCTTTTTTTAAAATATGGAACTTCTGATGAATTTGCATGCCATCTTTGCACTGGGGCTATGCTAATCACCTCTGTATCATTCCAGTTTTAGTATTCGTGTTGCTGCAGCAAGCACAGAAGTTTCTCTTTTGAATATGGTCAAGTATATTTATCTTTTCCTGTGTGGTTTGTGCTTTTTGTACCTTATTTTGATGAGTTATTTTCAGGAAAGCACTTGGAAGAGTGACTACACATGGAACTCAAGTATTAGCTGTAACTATTATATTTGTAGTTGATGATTTTTTTCCTTTCTCCAGTATGATAAAGATACAGACACACACACACACACATTTGTATAATCACCTTTAGATGATGCAGTTTCACTTGTACATATATACCCTAAATGAGTCTTATAAATGTACATAAGACAACACGTAGAAGCATATTTATTGAAATATTGTATTTTATTTTATTTATTTTTTTTAAGATTTTATTTTTTTCCCTTTTCTCCCCAAAGCCCCCCAGAACATAGTTGTATATTCTTCATTGTGGATCCTTCTGGTTGTGGCATGTGGGATGCTGCCTCAGCGTGGTTTGACGAGCAGTGCCATGTCCGTGCTCAGGATTTGAACCAATGAAACACTGGGCCGCCTGCAGCGGAGTGCGTGAACTTAACCACTCAGCCACGGGGCCAGCCCCTGAAATATTTTAAAAATATTTCAGCAGTTAAAAGGAATGAACTAGTTTGGGAGATATCAATGTGAAAAGATATAAAAGAAAATAAGTGATAAAAGAAAATTAAATAATATGTTTATTTACATACTCCTACATATATACCATTTATGCAAATTTTTTTTGAAGATTTTATTTTTCCTTTTTCTCCCCAAAGCCCCCCAGTACACAGTTGTATACTTTGTTTTTTTTTAAAGATTTTATTTTTTTCCTTTTTCTCCCCAAAGCCCCCCGGTACAACATGGTTGTATATTCTTTGTTGTGGGTCCTTCTAGTTGTGGCATGTGGGATGCTGCCTCAGCATAGTCTGATGAGCAGTGCCATGTCCATGCCCAGGATTCGAACCAATGAAACACTGGGCCACCTGCAGTGGAGTGCGCGAACTTAACTACTCGGCCACAGAGCCAGCCCCCCAGTTTTATACTTTTACTTGTGGGTCCTTCTAGTTGTGGCATGTGGGATGCCGCCTCAGCATGGCTCAATGAGCGGCACCATGTCTGCGTCCAGGATCCAAACCAGTGAACCCTGGGCCGCCGAGGTGGAGCACGCAAACTCAACCACTCGGCCATGGGGCTGGCTCCTATGCAAATTTTTAAATACATGAAACAGTTATATGTGTTCTTGTTGGAAATATATATCTATATTTGTAAAATTGATATAATGTTTGAGAGGCATTTGACTATATCTACCAAAATTTAAAAATACACAAGCCTGTTGACCCAAATATCCCAACACTAGGAATTTATCTCATAGACATATTTGCAAAAGTACACTGATGCATACTTTACACAAGCATGTATGCTCCAGAATTGTTAGAAATAGCAGCAAATTGGAAAAAATGGAAATAAGAAATTAGCTAAATGAAGACAAATCTATACAAAAATTACTATGCACTTATTTTAAAAATTGAGCCATATCTGTATATGCTGATATGGAAAGAGTTTTAAGGTGTATCAAATACAAAAAAAACAAGATATAGAACATTGTGATCTCATCTGTGTAAATGTACACATGTAAATGTAAACATGTACTAGAAGGATGTATACTAAACTCATGATAATGATTGCCTATGGAAGAGATGGTGTGCAATGGCACTTAGGTTTGCTGATATAAGAGAATTTTAGCTTTATTATATTTTATTTCTTTTATTAAAAAAAGTCTCAAAGTTAATATAATTTAATGTTAGTAGTTGTTATGTTGTTCCCAGAACTCTAGTTTGTTATAATGTAATTTGAATTATCTACATTTATAGTTTTCCCAAAGGTAAATAAATTTCTCAAAGAAAAATTTTTAAACCCATAAAAAGGCTTTAGTGAACATCAGTATATAACCTTACAAAATAAAAAGAAAAAATGAAAAAAACCAACTTTTTTCTCAGATTTGTAGGACTTTTTGGAAATTTCCATGAGGCTTATATCTCTATTTAGTATGATTGTCATTTTGAAAACCACTAAACTGAGAAATTAAAAATGTAACTTAATTTAGAAAGTAGGTGTACCTTTTGTCTCAAAGTTTCCATCAAAATCCGGACAATCTCTCTCTCTGCGACTTTTCAATCCTTGAAAATGATGAAAGTTTAAAAATTTATTGGCCAAAAAATTCAAACCCTAACGTCATCAGTAGATCAAGTTATTTCGGTATACCCACCTTTATCACCAAACGTTGAGTTGATCAGTTCTCCTTAACTTTTCTTCAGAGAATCGAATGATCTTTCCATTTCCCCAAAATCACTTACATCACCATACCAAGTTACATATTCTATGCTTTTATTTTTTTAATGAGATGTTAAGTTAAAATCATCATGTTTTAATACTTGTACTTGCAAGGATATGAAATTTCTGCTGTTGATATGTTTTATTTTTCATTGTTTCTAGGATCTGAAGAAGATGATGAAGTTGTGGCAATGATTAAGGAATTGTTAGATACTAGAATACGGTATGTGCTCATCTTTCTACCTGAGAGTAAATATATTACAGAGCCAATTTTTGTTATAGCAGTATACTTTTGGTTGTTTATGAAATTATAGTAGAGTTCCAAAATAAGTATACCTTAATGTAAAACATGATAGGTAACCATAACAATTTAATTTAAAGCCTGTACATTCTCTATATTCACTCAAAATTTTAAAACACTCAATCTATCTAAACATAGCCAATGAAGGAATTTGTCTTTCACAGTCACCATTTAGGTTTGATATTGTTATAATAGGAAATTCCTTTGAAAGAAAAAGTGACTTGGTGCTTGGGAGGATTGTGAGGAGAGAAGGATCCCCTGTTTCCAGGCTGTTGCCCATAAAGAATAAATTTAAATGAGTAGAGAACCACAGGCTTCCACTTTTTCTTGTAGCAGACCAATGATCCTGCTGAGAGCTCCCAGAAAGGGTAGATAATATGCAATAAAGAAAAATTGGGGGGCTGGCCCTGTGGCCGAGTGGTTAAGTTTGCACACTACACTTCAGTGGCCCAGGGTTTTGCTGGGTTGGATCCTGGGCATGAACATGGAACCGCTGGTCGGGCCATGCTGAGGCGGTGTCCCACACGCCACAACTAGAAGGACCCACAACAATAATATACAACTATGCTGGGGGGACTTGGGGAGATAAAAGCAGAAAAAAAAAAGATTGGCAACAGTTGTTAGCTCAGGAGCGAATCTTTAAAAAAAAAATAATTGGTTTGAAGGCAATTAGATAGCTGCCTAAGCAAACAAGATCCTGTAGGAGAGGGAAGCACATGGAGGCTTCCCTTGGGGCATTTGCTGATTCTTCATGTGAGGCTAGAGTAAGAAAAGTTGTGTAGAGCATAGCTGCTAAGAATCAGAAACCATTTAGCTTTTAGAAAATTTGTTGAGATGGGAAGACAAAAATTGAAATTCTAGATTATTAATGAAGCTTTGACTTAAAGGGTCAAAATCCCAGAGAGAAGAAAAGTTAAGAAAAAGTAAGCCTAAAATTACAGAGGTTCTCCCCACGAGGTATCTACTTATTCTTAGCTGTGTAGGGGAGCTGACTAAGAAGTCAAACAAAAAGCAGTTGGAAAGCTGAATAGAGTTTGGTAGATTTATGGTGCTAGGGGTGACAAAAATTGGAATTTAGGATCTGTCAAGGAAGGTGAGGCCTCAAGAAACAGCCTCTCAACTGGGCTCCCTAGAGGACTGTACCCTTGAAATGGGAGCAAGCCAGTGGTAGACCAAGCCTTATAAAACTGTAGTCCAGTATTGAGTGAGCTTGAGTCTACCGTGGATTGAACTGCTGCCAGAAGATAGGATGAATCCTTTCTGATGTAGTATAATCCCAGATCACTTCGGTTTTTCATGCACATTGTCCATCATTCAGTTACAAATCATAGGCATACCTACAAACTGGACCAAGAGAAAATAAAACAGATCCATGGGTAACCTTGATATTAGAGTTATCAGACATGGCCTTTAAAATAACTGTGATTAACATGTTCAAGAAAATAGAAAACAAGATGAAGAATTTCATTGGAGAACTGGAATCTATAAAAATAGAAGTAGTAATCCTGGAACTAAAAAGTGTAATAACTGAATTTAAGAACTCGTTAGATTAGTGGAACATCACAGATGCTGCTGCAGAGAAGATTAGTGTACTGGATAGAGGTCAGTAGAAAATATCCAGATTGAAGCACAGAAAAGAGAATGGAAAATACAGGAAAAAGTGTGAGAGACGTATAATACATGACAAAAAAGGTCTTAGAATGTCTTGTAGAGCTTTTAATATAGCTAGAATAAAAATACATGACAAAAATGTAACAGGTGGAGAGTTTAAGAGGAGGCGTTCTACAGTCTTAGCATTATCTGGGAATTGATAAAAGTACTAATTTAGGGGCCGGCCCGGTGGCACAGCAGTTAAGTTCGCACATTCTGCTTCGGAGGCCTGGGGTTTGCTGGTTCAGATCCCAGGTGCGGACATGGCACCGCTTGGCAAAAGTCATGCTGTGGTAGGTGTCCCAAATATAAAGTAGAGGAAGATGGGCATGGATGTTAGCTCAGGGCCAGTCTTCCTCAGCAAAAAGAGGAGGATTGGCAGCAGTTAGCTCAGAGCTAATCTTCCTCAAAAAAAAAAAGTGCTAATTTATATTAGAGACTAAGAAACCAAGTAGGCATCTTGTGGGGTAAACACCAAATGAATGGTAAAAGACCATATAGCCAACAAGCCAACAGAGGAAAAAATGGAATAATAAAAAAATACTTGATCCAAAATAATGAAAAATAGTAAGATGGTAATATAAGCCCAAAGATGTTAGTAGTTGTATTTTAATGTACATAGGTTGATTAACAAAAAATAAAATTGTCAGATTGGTTATTAAAAAACAACCATTTATATGCTGCTTATATGAGATATACACCTTAAATATAAGGACACAAAACAGAGTGAAAGTAAGAAGA